GGGACGATTTTGGGAGTTGTCTTCAACCTCCGGGCCGTCAAGACCCACTCCCTGCCGTCTTGCCTCTTCGAGCCGCTCGCAGCATCCGTGCGATGCCAACGGGTGCTGCTACGAGGCAGTGATAGGTGAAGTTTTCTCTCGTCCTTCTCCCTCCGACTCCCACAGCGTCCGTGCGACGCCGTGAGTACAGCTACGAGGCACGTGGTAGGACGTTTGAGTGACTGGGTTCGTAGGCAGAGTTAGGCTAAGCTCTTCTCGCGAAGTATCCCACCTCCAGGTAGTGTGTATGTGCGCCGTTAATAAACTTTAGTTCAGAGGATCGGTGCAGTGTGATTTCTGTGTGCGTGGGTAGAACCTCGGCGTGGTGTCTGCGATTTGTGCGTGGTGTGACTGCGCAAGAAAGCGAGTGCAGGGTTGCAGCGACGGTGTGGTGTCGGTAATTTGAGTGTGCGTGCGAGGCGCGCGTGTGTATTCAAACATAAGCGCTCGCGCGTGTTCGCGCAACAACAATATCATTGACGGCGAGGCGCGCGCGCAAATTCGCGCAGCCCTTTAGCGCTAGCCTTCGTGTAAAACGAGCACCTGCAAGGGCGCGCGCGTGCACGCAGCCGCCTTGATATTAGTGGTGGTGTACGTGGGCGTGTGTGAGATAACCCCGGGCGGTGGTGAGCCAGCCACTTGGCTCTGTCCCTCAGAGGGGGCGCTGGCGCAGGGGGGCCGATCACTCGATCGGCGGGGGGCCCGGCGGGAGGGGCCAAACGTCGCGGTAGAGGAAGGAGTGGAGGAGGGACTGGAGGGGGCAAACGTTGCGCTCCACCTGCCCATCGAGGGCGGTGGGGCGGACGTCGGCCTCCCACACTATCAATTCCGGTTCAGCGATTCTGCACTTGCTCGATTACTTTAGTATTATACCGCCTTCAACTTTTATGAACTACTGGGTGTTTAAGGTTAGCGATTTGTTGTGTTATATGGCTATATAGCAAATTAAAAAATACAATTACTTTACTATGCTAGTTAAAAATGTGTTTTTTATATTTGTGTTTTTTTTTATGTAGGGCCCTTTGATAACATATTCTACAGGCCCCGCACTAGCTTAATCCGGCACTGCCAATAAGGGGCATAACGGTGTAAGCCAATTACTTTTTCAGAGCGTTAACTGCCCTTCGCACATCGATTGCGTGCAACGTAATAGATCACAGCACAGTTTCGGTATGCACTTAGGCCTATTTAAACTTGCGCTGTACAATACTAATGTTTCGATTTAAAGCTTTCGTGACTGCAAGGATTCATCTTCTTTGGTTCTTTCGGTAAAGTCACGTAGAATGAGAATAAAATAATAAATTGATCAAATAAAATAACACAATAAAATTATCACGACGTTTCGGCCACAACACAAGAGGCCTTCATCAGGTGAAGGGACGAGACTGTCTGGAGGACAGCGCTGGAGCGAAAACAGCCAAGCTCAGACCGCGACCTTTAAGCTGTGTGAGAAGAAACAGAGTGCCTTGACAAAGGAATTAGCATATAATTTAGCATTGAAATAGCTGAGTGATTAGCTTGTGACTGGTCACAGAAATGGCTATGTTAAAGTCACAGCATACACATCCACAGAGGCACCCCTTGACAAAGGAATTAGCATAGGTTAATGGTATGGTTTACAACATGGAGTATAACAGCGCATCGCAGCTGTCTCTCTCCCCCTCCTCCGGTCCGACCATGGATGAACTCGTCCGTTTGAACGGGGCTCGTAGCTATCCGTGGTGGTAAAGTTGAGGGTAAGAATCCACCCATTTTTTCGCCATATAGCATTGTGATATATAACGACTTATTGTTGGTAGTTTAACTGATTGGAGAATATATAGAGTTTATTGATAACATTGAGGTAATTTATATTTTAGTTTTTTATTGGTTTACTATATAGTATTCATTATATAGTGTAGTGTATACCCAGTTACTGTTAATAGCTCAGATGTGTAGGCTTTGACTTTAACATAGCCATTTCTGTGACCAGTCACAAGCTAATCACTCAGCTATTTCAATGCTAAATTCTCCTGTTTGATTTGTACTAGGTGCCTCTGTAGATGTGTAGGCTTTGACTTTAACATAACTATTTCTATAACCAGTCACAAGCTAATCCCTCAGTTATTTCAATGCTAAATTCTCCTGTTTGATTTATACTAGGTGCCTCTGTGGATGTGTATGCTTTGACTTTAACATAGCCATTTCTGTGACCAGTCACAAGCTAATCACTCAGCTATTTCAATGCTACATTCTATGCTAATTCCTTTGTCAAGGGGTGCCTCTGTGGATGTGTATGCTTTGACTTTAACATAGCCATTTCTGTGACCAGTCACAAGCTAATCACTCAGCTATTTCAATGCTAAATTCTATGCTAATTCTTTTTTCAAGGCGCTCTGTTTCTTCTCACACAGCTTAAAGATCGCGGTCTGAGCTTGACTGTTTTCGCTCCAGCGCTGTCCTCCAGACAGTCTCGTCCCTTCACCTGATGAAGGCCGCTTGTGTTGTGGCCGAAACGTCGTGAGAATTTAATTGTGTTATTTTATCAATTTATTATTTTATTCTCATTCTACGTAACTTTACCGAAAGAACCAAAGAAAATACTAATGTTGGCATTTCTAACTTAATCTTTCCTGTATAATCCACGTATTTAAATGAACAAGACTTCGAGCCCTTTGTCAATCCAATGCTGGATGAAGGCTTCCCCACGCCACGTGTTGGCTCGTGTGGGATTTTGTCTGACCATACTTCACCACGCCGGTCAGTGCGGGAGGGCGAAGGTGGGGGAACAGGGAGTATTCACGGCATTTGAATGCGATACACTTCTGCACGATGAGCCACTTCGTTGAGCTATAATTTGTGTGATTTGCACTCCGATCGTGTGTTTGCATTGTTATTGTGACGTTTTGACCCGCCCTTACTTAGATATCTGTAAAAAAAAAAGAGCTTCATTGCTTATTGGATACCCCCAGTATACCTACTATAATCACCCAGGAATGTCCTTAACGCTCGTGACGTCACTCCACGTCCACCAACCCCCCTGATTAATATTCATGAGCAGGTGACGTCCTCCACATGGACCCCCCCTCCATTAATAATCATGGACAGGTGACGTCACTCCACATGGAGCGTCCCTCCCCCCTCATTAATAAACATGAGCAGGTGACGTTGCTCAATATGGAGTATTCCCCCCCCCTCACTAATAATCATGCGCAAGTGACGTCACTCCACATCGAACAGCCCCTCACATTAATAAGCATTATTAGATGACGTCCCCTAAATGGACACCCCCCCCATTCATAATAATTAGCATCTGACGTCACTCCACATGGTGGGGGGGGGGACGAGGCGCCTCCTCCCCCCTCCTCGGCGTCAACTGACAACCCTCACTACAAAGGCAGAACCCTCACGTCACGTGATCTCCGTGACGCTATTGTTGAGACATCAAAGTAAAAAGGATGTGATGAACAATGGATTATAATCTTCAAATGGCATAGGTCTGTGTCACCGCGCCCTTACAAATTGCACACGAATTAATGCTGTGAATATCACGTCGCGGTCTGTGCTTTTCGCTTGCAAGTTTCAGATTTACCGCAATACACCCGTCCTTGGACGGCCAAAAAGGCTAGTAAATAAATATTCAGATTCTGAGACATCATTTGCCACTGATGTGAGCCGTGGCGGGGATCGATTGACAGCTCAGCGCGCCGCACCGCTGCACCACCGCTCCCCACGCCTTGCAGAAATATATTTTTTAAAAACACTTGAGTGTATATCATCATCATCATGAATCATGATCAATCCACTGCTGGATGAAGGCCTCTCCCAAACCGCCGCCGCCACCTGTTACGGTTCCAGCGATGTAACGATCCATGCAATCACCGGATCTCTCGCTGATCGCTCCCTCCGCCTCGGCGGTGCACGTTCTATCACCGGGCGCCTCTCTCTCCGTGTGCCATGTCGGGGTGTTCTGCATTTACACCGCGTAACAATCACAAGCTCATTCCGCGCACGCACCTCCAGTGCCACGCCTGCACCAACATCTTCCCTCTCGATTTAAAGCTTTCGTGACTGCAGGGGTTCATCTTCTTGCTTCTTTCGGTAAAGTCACCACGTAGAAGGGAAACAATGAAAAATAAAACATTTATTTTTTATTTTATTATGTTTTATTTTTATTATTTTATTTCCATTCTACGTGACTTTACCGAAAGAGCCAAGAAGATCTTCCCTCTCTTCTCCGCGTCCTTCTCTCGGTTGCGCAGACTAAGCAGCCCACCGGGACTGCATTCAAATCACACAAACTCCCAAATTGCTTCGGGAACCGAGTTTGGGGCCGTCCATAAATGACGTCACGCACCTGGGGGTGGGGGGGGGTCAGACATTTGTGACGATGTGATGACGAGGGGGGAGGGTTTGAGAAATGTGACGTCACATCAAAATGCGCAACTTTAAATAAATATAGACAACACGTTCTACTTAATGATATAGACTTTTCAATGTTTTCTCCTACAACATCAGAGTGCAGCGCCACATTAAATACGCACTACAATGACAATAATTTAAAGCGATTTGAAGCATGTTTTATTTTCAAAATGGAAATATGGTTTTGGGGGGGGGAGGGCAGAGTTTTGTGACGTCATATTTGAGGGGGGGGTCTTTTTGTGACGCCGTGTGACGAGGGGGGGGGGGGTCAAAAATCGTCCAAAATCGCGTGACGTCATTTATGGACGGGCCCTTTCTTTTTTCTTCGTCTTCAAAGTGTGGGGCTTTTTCTTGACTTAAAGCTTTCGTGACTGCAGGAATTCATATTCTTTGGATCTTTCGGTAAAGTCACGTGGATTTGATGGGGTTTTTTTGTTAATTTTGAACCGATCTCCGTGACTTTACCGAAAGACCCAAAGAATATGGGGCTTTTTCCATCCTCCCTTCCTCATCCCTCCCTCCCCTCCCTCTTTACTCCTCCCCCGCAAACACCGCCTCCCAACACCCGCACCGCCACGCTCCCTCCCCCTTCGTTTTGGGGGCGGAGGCAAGCCGACACAATGGAGTCAACAACAAGGGGGGGGAGGCGGAGTGACATACAATGCACACGCGCGCGCGGACGACGGAGAGGCAGACGCACGCAGGCAGATAGACGCGCGCATACACACGGACAAACTCACGTAGACAGTGTATGTGTGCGCGTATATATTCACACGCGCGCGCGCGCATGGTAGGGGTGACACGTGTACACAGGCGGACAGCGACACGGACCACGGCTGTTCCGCAACACACACGGCAGGCACATGGTGGTCTCGTGCTGCCTGGAGAGGGCCCAGCAGCAAACGATGCCGGAACGCACGCGAGTAGTGCCGACCGCTGCCACTTGCGCCACGTGAACGCAGCGACGCCACCAGCACCAGCAGCAGCAACAACAGCAGCAGCAGCCACTGTTACAACAGCCAGCAAAGCAACAGCAGCCACAACCACCACCAACTACAGCTAGCGTCAGCAAGCAGCGCCCTCCGTCCCGTGCCGCCGCCGCCGCCGCAGTCTCCAACTCGCCACATGTGCAGCGAAAGTGCTGCGGGCAATGAGCCAGCCAGCCGCAACAGTTTTATTACGGCCTTTTAGCGAGCGTGCATAAGTTGTGCGTGGCGACTGCTCACAAATAACAACAATTCACAATTGACGACGGCGGCGGCGGCAGGCGACGAGCGTGACATTAGCGCGCGCTATTAAAGCCCCTTTCGTCTTGCTCGTCATGGAACAGGAGAAGAGGGCAACGCCACTGGAGCAAGACGGCCAGGTCGCAGCCAAGGAACGAGGTGGCGGCGGCGGCGCTCCAGCGCACGTGGCGACCGCGGTAAGAGGCGGCGCGAACGTCCTCCACGTGGCGCCGAAGACTCATTTGTACACGCGGTGGAGATGCGCAAATTGAATCGGCCACAAATTGTATCGGCCACATTGTATCATTGTCGGCCAAAAATTGTATCGGCCACAAATTGTATCGGCCACAAATCGTATCGGCCGCATCGTGCACTTTTACGCGTAAATGTGTTGGCCGTGTGTGAATTTGTTTGGCCGCGTCTTGGTTAACGCCTTGGTTGCCTTGTTAATGACCCGCGTTAATGACACGGGTGTGTAACAGTGTTGCTCCTCTGCAGGTGTGTGACAGTGGTGGCCCCTTTCCACAGTTGTGGCTGTGTAGTGCACACAGGTTGTACCGCGGTGTGGTCTTACACAGGTGTATAGTAGCGTGGTTCACACACCAACGTGGCCATGCACAGGTGTACAACAGCAATTCTCACACAGGTGTATAACAACGTTCTTGCACGTGCACGACAGCGTTTTCACACCGGTGTATGACAGCGTGGTCTTACACACTTACGCAGGTGCTCGACAGCCTGCTTGGCTCGCGTTGCACAATACAATTTATTCTGTAACGAGAGTGACAGCTGTCACCACTCGATTCGAGAAGCGATTATTTGTCTTTTTAGTCTCCCCCCCCCACGCCAATCTATTTTGTATTTTCTACTTTCGTTCCACCGATTTCCAGACCGTTTTTAGATCTTAGTTTACGAAAATATTACACGTGGCGTTGATATATCGGCATGCTTGGGTGTATGTATTGGTGCTTTTGTTTCCTTAGTTACACGCGCCGCACTGCTTTGTTTGCTGGTGAATGTCCCTCTCGAATTGTGGTTAATGACACCGTTGCGCTTCGATGTGGCCAGGAGATGACAGCATATTGCGATGATTTATTGAATTTAAGCAGAGTTTATTGTTTTGTGGTGTTTTTCCTCCGGGGTATTCGGGTTTCCTTCCACAAGCCACTCATGAGTGGAGCTGATCAAACATCCCCATGTAGCAGGAGCCTCGTAAAAAAAAACAGTGCCCTTAAACAAAAAAAACTCACACACTAGGCGGTAACACTCAAAAAGCTCCACACAGATAGATTCTATAATCCGTGGCTCTTACTGCCATCCCGTGGTTGTGTTTACGTTCATGTACCGATCACTAGATTTCCATACTTGTAGTGTCAGACGCCTGTAAAGTATCTATACAACTTGCGGGTAGGTACGGTATATAATTAGAACGCTTGCATGCGCGTTCTATTTTAAACCCGACGTGTAATGTGTCTGGTCCCAAGCGAGAGAGTGTTTTGAGCATATGGTTCGGTTATGGATTGGCTCTCGGAAGCCGAGTTCAAGGAAGCGGAGTTAAAGAGTTGAGGCTTTTGGGCTCAAGGTTGTTGTTCTTGTTAAAGCGATGACCAAATTGCCCTGGATGCATCCGATCTCGACAGCATTTTTTTTGCAAGCTAAGCAGGAAGTTTCAGTGTAGTGGCCGTTGGTTTGCGATACTGCTCCTTGTGGGATTGCCCTGCAATGTGGCCAAGAGATCCATTCGTGAATTCAGCAACGGATTCCTGAATCGGTCTGCGTGGAGATTTGAGTGCGCGTGGAGTTTAATTTCGAAGTGCTCCAAAGATTCCATTTTAGGATACTTTGGGGAAAATACGAGATCTTCAAACTCGGCAACTCTCTCCTTGGCTAAATAAATAAATAAATTTCGCTCATACACGTAATACAATATTTTAACGTGGGTGTGTGTTCGACATTGCATGGTCAAACTTTAGCATAGATTTGTGAAAAGCAATGTCTGTGTTGGGGGGCGGGGGGGGGGGGGGCAAGGGTTGGTGACAAACGCATTCGGCCGCGTGGGTTTCAGGAACTGAACTTCAATTTCAGAAGAGAAAAAAACTTTGACTTGCGGTCGAGTAGAAAGGTGCACAGTGAAAATCGCGTTGGATCATAGAGTTTTCACCGCCAAGTCAATTCCACATGGCGGTAAGAATTGTTCTCAACGCGTATACTGTAGTAGCCTTAAGGCTAAGAACGGGACAAACCGATCTCTTATTTCCACCGTTAAAAAAAATAATTTGTGACTGCGTTTGGCAGGAGTGCGCAGGCTTAAATAATAAATAACGAAATGCTTTTTTTCATAAATCGCCCCTTAGGTGAAATATATGTGTATATAAATGGGCGATGTTTCAGCCAAATGGCCCTTCTTCATAGCAGTGCTGTCTGCTATGAAAAAAAAATATTTCCTGAAACTTTGAAATAACAAAAAAAACATCCATCAAATAACACACGCTGCCATTTAACAGGAGACATTTTGGTCAGTGACCCATAAAACCCCGCAATGAAAAAAGGGACATTGCGCGGAACGTCGCCTATTAAACATTTTCCATTTTAAGGGTGATGTTATTGACGAATATAAAAAAATATATATAGTAGCTTTAAGATTCCAAAAACCCCTTTTTTTACTGCCAAAGGTGTTAGCGTCATGTTGCATTTTTCATAGCCACGTGAGTGTTTCCGTATTAACTGGGTGTGTTTTTTACCGTGTGTGATTTCAGACGGTTGCCAAAACTATTTATAGGTGGCATGTACCTCCATATGCAAAAGACAAAGATCCCCTGTATGGCCGATTAACAGACTTGGGGCAAGTGCTGTTAGCGAGCACCTATGAAGCCGACACTGCACACGAGAGGGTGGGTGGTCAGCACCACACCCGGCCGCCTTTGTCTCCCTAGTGGCGATGTGTACACATTGCATCAGGTACTCATTTGAGGCCGAGTCAACCTAGGGGAGGCTCAGTGCGCTAACCACTGCGTCACTGCACCCACTCGCGCGCACACACACACCTTCCGGAAAAGGGTAGAATAAATAAGGCCCTGTTTTGCCTGGCAAATCAAATACTGTGAGGAAATGGTCGCAGGGAAACTTTTTTTACTCGTGTGAAGAAAAAAAACTCTATTTTATCATTGCAGCCACGTCGGCAGCACAATCAGTGTAATTCTCTTTGAGAAGATCTTATCAATCGGCTTACAGCTTGCACACTCGAATGGTGCGTACGAGATATTGGTAAACGTCATCAAATAAAACCTCAGGGCAGGCAACGTGTGGTGTAAGCGTTATGCAGACAACGCGGCAAATACCGCCGCAATATTTTACAGCCCCTTTGTCAAGCCACACGGCGTCCGTCACGGAGGTGGTTTGTCCATACTTCACCACGCTGGCCCGGTGAGGGTCCGTGAAGGAGAGCAGTGGTGCCCAGGACTCGTTCAGACTTCCCTCGCCGCCATAACTAGCACTTGCCAGGGATTGAACCCAGGTCACCGGTTTCACAGCGCCCCGCTGCCCTTTGCATTCCAAGGTTGAGCGACAGGTGCCCGGTGCTGGTGGCGATGCCGCACACCCGCAGTGCAGCTCTCTGTCGGCGAGCGTTGCTGGATCCGCCTCCCTACCTGTGGGCGACGAGGTCACCATCTCTGGCTTGCCAGAATCTGGATGTACAGAAAGTTAATTCCATTCTGTCCTTTTCCATCTGTACAGGGAGGGGGGGAATCGAGTGTTGCCCCCTCGCATGTGTGGGCTTTTTCTCTCCGTGTCTCCGGTTTCCTCCCAACATGCATAAACACTCTCATTAATAGAGTTGGACAAACATCCCAATATAGGACCGCAGATCTTTGGGGAAATTGTTGGCGCCGGTTCTGGCTCCCTTCCCGCTTGTTTGCGGTTTTCCCGTGCCTCCTAATCGTTCTCCCCCCCCCTCCCTCTCTGAGAGCACACGATCGCATCACAGATTCTAAGATGTCAATGCCACTTGTGACCACTCGTACTTTAAAACGGCCGGAACAGCTGACAAAAGCCTCAACCGCTCTCTGTAGAAACCCCATGATAGTGGTTTACTTTTAAGCAGCAGCAGCAACAACCACAACGAACATTCTAAACCTCTTGTTCCCTTTTGTAAACGTCCCCTTCCTTGACACTCATTCATCGCACGGTATACACTAGAGGTTTTTACATACACCTGCGAAAAAAACGTAGAATTGCAGTGGGGGAAAACGTAAGAAACATGGAAAAATATTATCCTCTTCACGAAAATTATTGCACACCTGCTGGGTATGTCTGAAGGGGGCAATGCCCCCCATTGTTTAGTTTGTTTTAACAACTCCCCCCCCCCGCCACGATTTATCTGCTGCTGGATGAAGGCCTCTCCCCGAGTCCGTCGCCATCCCTCGCATCTCTCGCGATGCGGCAATCCATCCGGCGTTGCCCTCCCATTGTCCGCTGAATGTATCCAAATCTCGCGGTTATTTGCTGCGCGGCCAGCTGTGTCCCTCGCTAATCCCGGCCGCATGCGGAAGTTCATCCCACGATTCCTTCGCCCCCGACACTCGGAAGAAGGGACGTACAAACGTCTCTCACGTCTACACCCACCCGGCGTTGTGGGCCAACCCCCCCCCCCCCCCCCCCCCCGGAGACTACTGTCGTCGAGAGGAGTTTCAAGAACGTCCCCCGTGCCCGGATTGAAGTCCCCCCGTGGCCCCGTTTTTAAATCGAGCGCGAACCATCAAAGCGCATCCCCCCCCACCCTCGATCAATGCAGAACAAACCAGGCACGAGGCCACAACGTTCCGATCAAGCGCTTAATTTATCGCCAACCCCCCTCCCACCCTTCCTCCCGCCAGCACAGAAGGATCTCCTCCGTTTTTTAAATTCGCCCCGAAAATCACGGCTCGTGCCGAATCGCTTTCCTCAGAACATCGCACGGTGGATACGGCCATCCGTTACCCCATCCGTTACCCCGTCCGTTACCCAGGTAAGGCCCCCTGAGCCATATATATAGCTCTTTTTCAGAAGTGACCCGGTCACAAATTATAGCTCAACAAAGCGGCTGATGGTGTGAAAATTTCTTAAGCCAAATACTTTCAAACGCACGATGTTGATTCTAAATGTGGAGCGGAAAAAAACGGGAGGACCTGGAGAAAAATCCACGTGGCCACGGGGAGAG